CAAAATCATAAATCCACTATAGGATAGTATGAATCATGTAGTACAAAAATATAAAAATGCCTAGCTCACATTCGATTTTTGATCGAAATGAAAAATAATATATAAGATCTTTTGTAGTACATTCTTTGAAAATTAATTCATCGGAAATATAGTACTCATATGCTAGATGTGTTTTGCGGGTGAAAAATAATTTATAAAAATAATGCTATCCTTAAAATTTTTATTTCTTAATAAAATTTAACACTAAATAAAAATATGAATACATAAAATAAAATAAAATGAAAATTTGGGAAAAAAAAATTTTTTTTTGAAATTTAACAGTTAATTTTAGTACTTAAATGTGAGCAAATTTAATCGTTTATACTATTTCTTAAAAGTTTAATAAATTATTTTTTAAACGAAACAAATTTTAAGTTTCTCTCATTTATATAGCCTTAGATATGGCAATTTAAAAATGTGTACACAATGCTAATTCTCAAAACCCGATGGATAAAAGACCACATAAACTGCCATTTATTAAATAGGTTAATGTCAAAATAAACAACATATGGGTCATTCTTTTACAAATCGGACACCTTTTTTACCTCATGATCTCCGATTTAGCTGAAATTTTTTTTATGAGTTCCTTTCATAAAATAAGAAGACCCGTATCTCATGAAAAAACTTTGTAATTTTCTTCCTAGGAGATATGGACTCATGGGGTTTTGAGAATTGGCATTGTAGTCATATTTTTAAGTAGCTCTATCTCAGGCTCTGTTAACGGTAGAAACTTAAGATTTGCTACGTTTTGAAGATGGTTAATTGAGCTTTTAAGAAATAGTATAAACAATTAAGATTGTTTATATTTAAGTACAAATATTAATCGTTGAATTTCAAAGAAAAATTTTTTTCAAAACATATCCCCAGAAGTTTCATTTTTTATATTTTATTCAGATTCAGTTTTAAATTTTACTAAGAAATAAAAATTTTCTAAATGGCATTATTTTTTGAAATTTAAAAAAATTATTTTTCTCCCGCAAAACACATCAAGTATATGCGTAATATACTTCCATTGAATTATCAAAGAATATACTACAAATATCTTATATATATAATTCTTCTGTACGTGTGTTGACAGTGAACTCCTCCTAAACGGCTGAACCGATTTTGATGAAATTTTTTGTGTGTGTTCAAGTGGATTCAAGGAAGGTTTAGATTCACAATTTGGCCCACAGGATAATGTCTTTTTAATTAATTTTTTATTTTTTGGTATCCATATACTTTTATATTAGAAATTTAAAATTTATTCATGCTTACTTTGATTTGTTTAAAAAGTTTAAAATCTCTAAAACGAATCGTAAAACTGCAGTTGCATAGCTTAAATGCATTTAAATTCCGCATTATAAATCGTTTGGCAACCGATCTATTAAACAATGATATGCAGCGCGAATTTCAGTATAGCTCTGAAGATTTGGTTGAATTTGTTACAAGAAGCGAACAAATCTTAACGCACCAACAAAAGGTCATTTATGATCGGGTTTCGAACGCAATTGCGGCAAAAGAAGGCGGCTTTTTTTCTTGGATGCACCAGGTGGAACTGGAAAAACTTTCTTAATTTCAGTCATTCTTGCAAAGGTTAGAATGCAAGGAAATATCGCTTTAGCACTTGCATCATCTGAAATCGTTGCGACATTGTTAGATGGTAGTAGAACAGCCCATTCGGCACTAAAGTTGCCACTAAACATACATTCATGTGAAAATGGGGTATGCAATATTAAAAAACATTTAAATATGGCTCAAGTACTTCAAAAATGTCACATCATTGTTTGGGATGAATGCACAATGTCACATAAATATTCATTGGAAGCATTAAATGAACACTTAAAGATTTAAATGCCAACTATAGACTTTTTGGAGGCGCTTTAATTGAAAATCAATGTTTGCCTAAAATCATCCATTTTGTGGCGAAGTGTCCATATATTACGACTTACCGAAAACATGCGTGTTGGACTACAGAGCGATTTAGCTGCAGAACTGTTTGCCAAACAATTGCTGGATATTAGTAACGGAAACGTAAGTCTTCATGAAAATACGCACTTTATTAAATTGCCAGAAAATGTTAATTCGGAAGAGGAGTTAATAGAAAACGTATTTCCTAACATATATCAAAATTATCAGAACCATCAATGGCTTCAAAGTAGAGCGATTCTGGCTGCCAAGAACTTAGATGTCGATGAAATCAATTTCAAAATTCAAGCTAAGCCTTCTGATCTATATATATACGTACAAAATGGCCTAACAAAAAATATTGTTCATGATTTAGCTTTAAGTTAACATTATAGCCCATAATAAAACTGTTAATATAATATTAAAAACACCTTTTTTCATGTAAAATGTAGTGCTTAAAATGATTTGAAGTAACATGAAAATATTTGTAACATAAGTAATGCATGTGGACTTTTTGTAGTTCAAAAGAAAAAATCAATTCAAAATAATTTTCGCATTAAAGGTTAAGTTGAATAACAACACAAATAAGCCAGGAAAATTATTTGCAAGGGGAAACAACGTTCGCCGGGTCAGCTAGTTCTTATATAATATTTTTAATTTCAATTAGTAATAAAATTCTACATAAAACCAAAAAATTTCAGGTCATTATTGTCCTTAGAAGTACTTTTAAAAAATTAATTTATCCTTCATATCACACTAAACACATACACACGATTTTTGACTAAAATAAAGAGGAATATGTCATACAAATTTTTCTTCTTTAGTTTTGATATAGGTTAACAAATATATTTTACTTAAAAAATAAATATTTCCATTGTGGTACTGCTTTTAGAAGTAATTAAAAAAAATTAATTTATCAGACGTCCTACACATAACTCATACGCACTGTAATACCATTAAATCAATTTTCCAAGAAAAACGACACAAAAATATTTTCTTTTTATTAATGAATTGAATTTATCAATAAATTTTATATAAAAATACAACTTATTAGGACGTTGTTATTCTTAGAAGTATTTTTATTAAACAAATTAGTTTCACATCATCTTTATTTTTAAATTACGAATTTGAAATTTTTAATATTCCTTCCGGTGACTCTAACGATAGCGATGAAGAAGACGACTGCAGGAAAAATGTAATGGCACAGCAGATAGAACTATAGGCGAAATCAGAGATCGTGAAGTAATTTTTGTGCCAAAATATAATTAAAATGATTACATGATTTGAAGATTGATAAAAATGAAGATACACAAGATACTTATGACAAGAAATGTGGAATATATAAGTAATGTTTTTGACTAAAAGTCAAAAAGTTGAAGTTTTAGAGGGTAGATAAAAAATTTTTTAGTTTATGAAATACGAATTTTTGTTTTTTGCTACAAATAAATAAATAAAAAATTTTAATTTTAACGTCCTTTCGCTTATTCCTTTACTTCCTATACTATCATAAAGACTTTTTTTTCAACTATTTCTAAATATGGCAAGGGAAAGAGGCAAGAAAGGGAATTAGAGAAATAACATCTAAAACAAAAATGTCTATCTATTCATTGATTGCAAATTAACTAAAATTGGGTCATTCTTTTACTAATTGGAAGGATGAAAATGATTTTGGCCAAATCGGAGGTGATGAGGTCAACAAGATGTCCGATTTATAAAACATTGACGTATTAACGAATTTCGTATTCGAAATTATTAAAATAAAAAAAATTTATTAATCCTTTAAATCCCCAATTTTATATATGAAATGATATATGATGATATAGCTTCTAATGCAATATTAAATCAATGAATTAGATATCGATTAATTTGTCTAGATATAGTAGCAGAAATACTTCCATTTTCCAAAAATCGTCGAGCAGTATTACCTTCAATTGTGTTATCCTAATTCTTTTCTAAAACTTTCAGTCCTTTACCAACTCATTTTTGAGTCATATCGACATACAAATATATTGAAATTTTAATGAAATAGACGTTAATTTAGGTATAACAGTTAGTTTTAACATCTAAAAAAAAAACACTTTATTTGGATATATTGCTTTTGCGAGATTGAATTTTGCATTGATTTGGTAGTAATACACTTTACAAAAACAAAAAAAGAGTAATAATGAGCAACAAATTTTTTTTTAATTTTAAAGGAAATCATTCTGCCTATAACTTAAAAATGGATTTGAAATGGAACAACGTGGAACAACACAACTTTTTCATTATTTTATATAGTCCTTCAACAATTTTAATCATAAAAATTTAGAAATAATAGCTGCAGCTGCTTTATTTTTTACTTAAAAATTTATTATTTAGTTTTTATTGTTTTATATTTTACTTACTTTCAGTAATCTATGTCATTTTCCTTCATTGCTATTCATTTTCATTTAAACATTTTATTTAATTGACCACACAGTAAATGCTACTTAAACAAAGGTCATGTTGCGACTGCTATAGTGGCGAAAATAAAAGGAAAAAAAATTTTATAGGATATATATTATTCCTGATCATGTCTTAATCCAACACAACATAAAAAATCTTTAATCTAAAACTTTTTTTGACTTCTGCCCAGCTTTTCGACAATCGGCAATCGGTCGCACTGTGCGGTAGTCTTAAATAATATGAATAGATGCTAAATAACTGCATGACCTAATAAGACTCTCCACTCATTCAGCCAACAAAAATTGCGTTAGCTTGATAACATAGTCTCAGACGTAATAGCTCTAGCACTTAGGACAGTCTTCCAACACTGCACTGAAATAAATATCCAATGTTCGAGCGAAAAATTTGCTGACTCGGGACAATACGAAATCGAACAACGAACTGATAAACTCGGTTAATGCGTTCTCACTTTTACTGATAAAAAGTGGTTTTTAAACAATTAATAGGCACATTTTAATAGAATACAATTTGGGATGATATTCGTTTCTGTTGTTAAGGTTTTACATGACTTGCAAAACCTCAACCGAGTTTGTTATAAATTCGAGGCATAGAATTACGAGGTTTAGTATGCGAAAGTAATTTGGCGTGCGTCGTTTTTCCGGACATAATCGATTCTACTAAAAAGTGATATTAAAAAAAATTTATCAAAACAAAAGTTGGGAATTATAAACAAAATATTAGTAAAACTAAAAGTAAATATAAACAAAAACTTATAACAACTGATTTAAATAAAATTATATGACTAACTAAATAAATCAAAAAATACTTGAAAATACATTATTATTTATATTGTAAAAATAATTAAAGAAAATAATCATATTTTCTTATATATTATATTATTATTTAAAGAATAATAATAAAATATGTAATAATCGATTACACTAATAGTGAACATTTTCAAATTGAGAACCCGTTATATCTACTAAAGTTCTTTATAACAAGCCTTACAACAAGCCTTATATGTAAAATGGCGGTGTAATTAATAATTAATAAATAAATAATGAGATACATAGGTGTTAATTCAAAAAAAAATTATTTGATTTATCTTAACACATTGTGTTTATTAACTAAAAATATAAATTTGAAAGTGATTTGTTGTTTCAAAAAATATAAAAAAAATCTTAAAAAAACTATACCAGAAAATTATGTCAGTCAAAAAACTTCCGGTATCTGAAAAATCGTTCCCTCACATAGCTTTCATCATATATAATGTTATCCTGATATTTTCTGATTTTTTACTTATTCTGCTTTACTACTACAACAAAAATTCATTTTAATATTATTTTAATTAATTGAGTTTTTTGCTGACCGTACAGGTCTTTTGAGTATTGCCAAATACCCATCATCACTGGTTTTCAAAAGACCAGTGGGTATTGCCAAAGCATTCCTAGTCTTTTTTTGGGACTGTAAGTACCAGGAATCGAATTTGTGTCCTGCCGAATTTGAAGCTCAGAGTCAGTGCACCATAACCAACTGACCCAAAGCCATAATTTTATAATTTTTTTTTTATAGATATTATTTCTTGATTAAAAGATTTTTCTAATGGACATTCATAAAACATGCTATAAATTTTAAGTAGAAATCAGTTTTTAATGGCGAAACAAAAACAAAACAGCATAATATACTTATCACATAATTGTTATAATTTATGCTTTTTTTATACAATTTTTTCTTTAATTATAAGAAAAACTGAACATATTTGTATATTATATGTATGTTATATATATATTTTATAAGTATATTGAAACAAAACACTTAGCCTGTTTATTTAATTTTAATGAGTACTATTACTTTTCCACCAATATATTGAAAACAACATACAGATTTTTTTATTATTTTACGATTCAAGGGCATCCTGATCTGACCCCATACTCTTATTTTCCAGTATTTATTTTGATTAACAGGTCAATTTTGACAAAAATCGTTAAAAGTCTTGCGTAAGAACTTTGTAAGAGATACCGTTAACAGCTACTAATCACTACCGCAAGCAAGTAAACAATTGAATTTTAATACAAATGTAATGGAAAGCCGCAAGATGTATGTTCCATTATTACTATTATTTATATAGAGATTTTTTCGAACAGTAGTGAACTACAACAACAAAAATTCATTTTATATTATTTTAATTAATTGTATTTTTGGATGATCATACAGCTCTTTCGAGTATTGCCAAATACCCATCATCAATAGTCTTGGAAATAATTGTTGTATTTAATTATCCATGAATAATTTTTCTTTTTTTGAGACTTGCAGGAATCGAACTAGGGTCCTGCTAAATGTGACTGGACGGTAAATAATTATATACCCAATTTATTTCGCCATAAAAGAAATAATAGCAGCAATTGCAGTGGCAAAAAAAAATTAATTATTTTTCAAATTACAGTAAATAAATATAAATAAATAAATAAATAGATAAATAAACCAATGTGAAATATATATAAATATATATAAATGTTGAATATTGAATTTTGAATATATAAAAAATTAATATACTATATTGTACATATATAATATATATACTTTCAATTTTTTTTAATTACAGTATGGTATATCAATACATTTACGGTTGCGTAGTATTAAAATGAAATTGAAAAAAATTGTTCAGTTTTTACAAATTTTAATTAATTAATTCCTAATTTTTTTTATTCTCATTTTTATGTGTCTGTTTGTATCTAAAAAAAGCATTCAAAATGCAATCAGATTGATCATTTGAAATAGTAAACTGTCCGTTGCAAATAAAGTATTATAAATTTGAAACAGTGTTATATATTCCGTACAACACTATGTTATTTCTAGTTCGGATAGTGTAATATATAGAGATTAAATTCAATCCACAATTAAATAAAATATTTCTTTTAGAAATAGAAAATCTTTTAGTCCTACAATTCTTAAGTAACTCCATACAGATATATGAATACTTGCGAATGTGAAAAATTTTTTTACTATATTATAATAAAAATATATGCATATAAATTATAAAATTGCTAACTGTAATAACGTTCTGTTTTGTTTTTCATTATATTAATTAATATATTCTGCATTCTTCCCCTCTTACACAGCTAAAATGGTATCTACCGAAGCTCTGTTCCTAATTACTGCTGCCATTGGCTTAATTTATTTTTGGATCAAACACAATTATAGTTATTGGCAACGCAAGGGCATTCCGTACTTAAAACCAATCCCCATTATTGGTAACACTAAACCTATGCTAACATTAAAAACGAGTATTGGTCTCAATATATCAAATATCTATAATGATAAATCAATGAGCAATGAAGCAGTAGTGGGAATATACAGTTTCCATAAACCCGGATTAGTTATACGAGATATTGAATTAATAAAATCAATTTTAATCAAGGACTTCAATAAATTTTCAAACCGTACATTAGCAATTGATCCACATGGTGATCCATTAGGATCGAATAATTTATTTTTCGTTAGAAATCCAGAATGGAAAGAAACCAGAACAAAACTATCACCAGTTTTTACAAGTGGTAAAATAAAACAGATGTATCCACTCATGCTTGATGTAAGTATTAAACTTTTGCAACATTGAACTTAATAAACATATAACGATTTTTAATTTATTTTTCAAAAAGATTGCAACAGAATTGGAAAACCATTTGACATCTTATAAGAAAACCAATAATTCCTTTATAACTGAAGTAAAGGAAATTTGTGCTCTCTTCACTACAGATGTCATAGCTTCTATAGCATTTGGTTTACGTACCAACAGTCTCAAAAATCCAAATGCCGAATTTCGTCAATATGGACGTATAATGATGCAATTCGGTTTGCTCCGTGCATTCCAGACATTCATCAGTTTATATTTGCCTAAATTGGTTAGATTATTCCGTGCGAAAATGTTCCCTGAAGACTTTTCAAAGTTCTTACATAAAACTTTTAATTATGTAATATCGGAACGTGAAAGCAGTGGAACTATTCGTAATGATCTTATTGATATTTTGGTATCCTGGAAAAAGGAAATTCCCGATGCAAAAAGCCGATATAGAGCTAATGAAAATGAATTCCTAGTGGCTCAAGCTGCTGTATTTTTAACTGCAGGGTTTGAGACATCATCTTCAACAATGGCTTTTGCACTTTATGAATTGTCGAAAAAACCAGAACTACAAAAACGTTTACGAACAGAAATTTGCAACGCATTCTTGGCTGAAAACGGAAAAATATCTTATGAAAATATTCAAAGTCTTCAATATTTGGGAATGGTTGTTGATGAGGTTTTGCGTATGTATCCAGTATTACCATTTTTGGATCGCGAATATAGTAAAACTAAAGACGAGTCAGATTATACACTTCAACCACACTACAATTATGCTATTCCAAATGGTATGCCAGTATACATTCCAGTATATGCAATACAACGTGATCCAAAAGTATTTCAAATATTATTATCATATTATAAAATTTTTGATTTCATATTATTTTAATTTTAGTATTGGTCAAATCCAGATGTTTTTGATCCAGAACGGTTCTCATCAGAAAATAAAAAGAATCATACTCCTATGACATATTTTCCATTTGGAAATGGACCACATAATTGTATAGGGAGTCGTTTAGGATTACTTCAAACAAAACTTGGCTTGGTACACTTTTTGAAAAATCATTTTGTTGAACCTTGCGATCAAACACCATCTAAAATGGAATTCGATCCCAAGGCTATTATATTACAATGTTCTACGGGTATTTACTTAAATATAGTAAATGATCACATGTACGATGTAAAAGTATCGGCAAAATCATAAAAAAATACAAAATTAAGGAAAGTTCAAAGAGAAATGTATATGAAAAGTAGAGAAAGTAATATTTGTATGAAATATTTATTTTACTGTCTTGAGGAGGTGAAGATAGGAAATGAAGTATTGATTTACACCTTATACACTGTAAGCTTGTTTTGTTTTAATTGTTATCAAAATTGTTATAATTGGGTCATATGGTGTCTTTGTAAGAACATAATTGAGAAAAGAATAAACATTTTTCAAATATTGATTAATGAATTAAAATTTTCTTTTATTTTACTGGGTCTGTATTGCAAGTATATATGAACTATGATTATAATAGTCTCTTGTCAGTTTATATACATATATGAAATAAGAATAAGAATAAGTATGGTACATTGATAATTTCTGAAATGTCGAACCTTGTTTGAGCATAGGACATAAATATATGAGATATTAAGTGGAAACATATTTTATAGTTTTTACTTTTTATTAAAGGTATAAAATAACTAATTAATCTCCCCGTCTAAAATTCAGTTAAATCTTCTGAAAGTTAGCTGAAAATCTATTCTTTCACAAACCTTATACTATATTTTATAGTAATTAAGGATGCTTTTAGGAATATCGTATTTATTATCCTTTTAGGCAGTTGCTTAAGTTATGAACTTAAACCTTTAAAAGATAGTACATGCAGAGATATCAGACTAAATGAAGAAAACGTAAACACTTCATATAAATTTAAAACTCTAACCAATTATAATCACTGTAATTGGAATATACAAATATGAATTAAATGACACGATTATAAAATATTAGTGACCTGTAATTTAATACCGATAACCATAATTATATTTTATGTTGCAAGAAAGCTGACTCTAGAGTGGTATTAAAAACTATGAATCAGGATACTTTGAACCATGTGGTATAAAACTATTAAAAATGTCTAAGTAACTTCAGCTCAACATAAAGAAAAAGATAATTTTAATAACAGAATCGTATAACATCAAACAGTATTCTTAAATATTAAATTTATTGTTAAAATTTATAAAAGAATTTTTTTTATATCATTATAATCTAAAATGTTCATAAGGATAATGTTTATTGAATTTAGATAATGACTAAACGAAAAATAGAAATCAGCACATTTATTATAATATATATATGATTAATATATCTGATATCTTTTATATATCACAATATTAAACTTACTAATGTTTTCAAATACTGAATAAATAAACACATAAACTGTCATTTATTAATGTCAAAATAAACAACATATGGGTCATTCTTTTACAAATCGGACACCCTTTTTACCTCATGATCTCCGATTTCGCTGAAATTTTTTTATGAGTTCCTTTCATAAAACAAGAAGACCCGTATCTCGTGAAAAAATTTTGTAATTTCTTTCCTAGTAGATATGGACTCATGGGATTTTGAGAAATGGCATTGTAGACATATTTTTAAATGGCTCTATCTCAGGCTCTGTTAATGGTAGAAACTTAAAATTTGCTACGTTTTGAAGATGATTAATTGAAATAGTATAAATAGTATAAACAATTAAGATTGTTTATATTTAAATACAAATATTAGTCGTTGAATTTTAAAAAAAATATTTTCATAAACTTTCAAAACATGTCCCCAGAATTTTCATTTTTTATATTTTATTTAGAATCAGTTTTAAATTTTACTAAGAAATAAAAATTTTCTGAATGGCATTATTTTTTGAAATTTAAAAAAATTATTTTTCTCCCGCAAAACACATCAAGTACATGCGTACTATACTTTCATTGAATTATCAAAGAATATACTACAAATATTCTTATATAATATTTTTAATTAGTAATAAAATTCTACATAAAACCTAAAAATACCAGGACGATATTGCCTTAGAAGTACATTTAAAAAATTAATTTATCCTTCATATCACACTAAACACACACACGATTTTTGACTAAAATAAAGAGGAATATGTCATACAAATTTTTCTTCTTTAGTTTTGATATAGGTTAACAAATATATTTTACTTAAAAAATAAATATTTCCAGTGTGGTACTCCTTTTAGAAATAATTAAAAAAAATTAATTTATCAGACGTCCTACACATAACTCATACGCACTGTAATACCATTAAATCAATTTTCCAAGAAAAACGACACAAAAATGTTTACTTTTTATTTCTGAATTGAATTTATCATTAAATTTTATATAAATATACAACTTATAAGGACGTTGTTATTCTTAGAAGTATTTTTATTAAACAAATTAGTTTTACATCATATTTAGTTTTTAATTACGAATTTGAAATTTTTAATATTCCTTCTGGTGACTCTAACGATAGCAATGAAGAAGATGACTGCAGGAAAAATTTAATGGCACAGCAGATAGAACTATTAGCGAAATCGGAGATCGTGAAGTCATTTTTTTTCCAAAATGCATCTAGTTTGTAAAAGGACGACCCATATGCAGAGCTTCATATCTGTAAGTTCATGTTTTTCAATATAAACGAGCCTCTGCTATTTACATTAGCTGTTCACTTGAATTCAGAATCAAAATTAACAAATTTATCAAGAAAAATACTTTGCAATAGCTAAGAAGAATCTTATTAAATATCAACAGGAAATCATTTCTGTACAGATCAAATATAACAAACCTTACCATATTATATATAATAACATGATCGCCTTTTATGGAACTTAAGACAAACATCTCTAAAATATTTTTTTGTAAAAATAGATTGTAAAAATAGATTAGTATGTTCTTATTGGGTAAGTACTAAAGATTTGTAAGTGTTTTTTTCATTAAGTAGTACTCTCAAAAACCACAATGTCGGAGATCCAAGTTAACAATATAGTAATAATTATTTTTTATAGAAAATACAAAAACCACAATATAGAGAAATATATCCTTCATAGATATAAAGACACATAGAAAATATTAAGATGAAAATAAAAATACAAAATTAGACAATCAAAATTCGCTTTTTTCTTAAGCAGTAGCGATATTGAAATATAATATCACTGAAATATAGATTTTGAGATTGGCATACTGAAGGGCGTGCGTCTAAACGTTATGTC